CTCCCTCTGCCTGTGTTTCTGCCTCTCTCTCTCTCTCTCTCTCTCTCTCTCTCTCTGTCTCTCATGAATAAATAAATTAAAATCTTAAAAAAAAAAAAGAGGCATATTTTAGGATGACATATTCTGGTGTCCTTCACAAGTTCCATGGACCAGGCATCCATTTGCAATGGAATTATTTAAAAAGTTGGAAATTATGAAACAAAAGATGGTGTCTTATCCTGGCACCCAAGGCAAGTTCCTAGAACCTCAGTAGGACTGAGCAATGAAATAGGAAAAAACACTGAACTCAGAAAACTGAGTTCAAATCTGGCTCCCAGGGCTCCTGGGTGGCTCAGTCAGTAGAACATGAGACTCTTGATCTCAGTGTCATAAATTTGAATCCCACATTGGGCATAAAATTTTCTCACAAAAATTTATTTAATAAAGTCTCTAAAAAAAAATCTTGGGGTGCCTCGGTGGCTCAGTTGGCTGAGTCCAACTCTGGAGTTCGGTGCAGGTCATGGTCTCAGGGTCATGAGATCAAGCCCTGCATCAGGCTCCTTGATGCAGGGAGTCTTCTTGAGTTTTTCTCTCTCTCCCTCTGCCATTCTCCCCCCTGCCCCCTCTCTCTTTCTCTAAAAAACAAATAAATAAAAAATTAATTTAAAAAAATTTTAAATTATTTATTTATTTATTTATTTATTTATTTATGATAGTCACACACACACACAGAGAGAGAGAGAGAAGCAGAGACATAGGCAGAGGGAGAAACAGGCTCCATGCACCGGGAGCCTGACATGGGATTCGATCCCGGGTCTCCAGGATCGCGCCCTGGGCCAAAGGCAGGCGCCAAACCACTGCGCCACCCAGGGATCCCTAAAAAAATTTTAAATCTGGATCCAGATGTGTGATCTTGGGCAAATTATTCCCTCAAATCAATTATATTCTGTTTCTCCATTTACAGGTAACTCAAATATAACTAAGCTTCCTTGAACCTTCCCAAGACTTAAAGTCAATCTCGCACATTATTGCCTTAAAATATGCACAAACGCACATACACACACATCCAACTACAAAGGCAAAGATGAGCGATGTGGTTTTTTTCCTTAAATTTTGGAGGAAGGAATCACAGTGCATATCATGTAGAAAACTTGTCAAAAATCTTGGCTCTGTAGGAGAGGAAAAATAATTTTCCTTTTACACTTCTGAGTTCTTGGCTGAGATTCCTGAATGAAAGATTAACAAGAGAGAAAAGCCACCAAAAGGTTAGTTTTAGACTTTTTTTTAAAGATTTTTATTTATTTATTAAAAAGAGACAGACACAGAGAGGGGCAGAGAAAGCAGGCTTTCTGCAGGGAGCCTGATGTAGGATTCAATCCCAGGACCTTGGGATCACACTCTGAACTGATGTTCAACCACTGAGCCACCCAGGCATCCCTAAATAACTTTTTTTTTTTAAGATTTTATTTATTTATTCATGAAAGATACAGAGGAGAGAGAGAGAGGCAGAGACACAGGCAGAGGGAGAAGCAGGTTCCATGTAAGGAGCCTGATGTGGGACTTGATCCTGGGACTCCAGGATCATGCCCCTGGGCCAAAGGCAGGCACTAAACCACTGAGCCACCCAGGGATTCCCCCTAAATACCATCTTAATAGGGAAGGGGAGTAGGGATGTAGGCCTCTTATGGGAGAGTGAGTGATTTTCAGAAAGCTGAATGGGCTCCTAGAGGAATACAGGGAGATGTGATAGCTTTCAGGATGTGGTGTCCCTTCCAGTCTCCTCTCCTGTGATAAGAGCCCAGTTCATCTTCTCTGGCTGATGAAGCTCCCATGGAAGGGATTTATGACAATTGAGTTCCTTTTAGAAGACTTATTTTTAAAAAGGCAGATAAGGGGAGTTCAGACAAAGTCTCCCCCTGCATTTGCTGTTTTTCAAGTGCCTATAGTTCAAGATAATCGATATGCCAGAGCAGCATATTTGGGGGTGGCAGGTCCTGAACTCCCACAGTCACATATTGGGGTAGCATATGTGCTGGCCTTCGGCCCTTTCCTCAAATTTCTCCTCTTTGGCAGTAGCCACAATTTTTCTTCACTCTGTTTTTCTCTGTCTCTGTCTATCTCTGTCTTTGTCTCTCTGTCTGTCTCTTTCTCTATCTCTCTGCCTCATCTACCAGCCCTTCTTCATCCTCTCCCCTACTGATACCCCTTAAGCCTTGCCCCACCCCACCCTCCACCCCCACCCCACCTCACCCCACCCCCACCCCCCCGCAGGTCCAGCTATCCCTTTCCTATGAATAACAATGACTCCACTTGGCACTCTCCTTGGAGGATTCTCCATAGCCAATTGTTGAAATACTTCTAATCTCAAAAACTGAAGGAAGAACACAGACCCCACCACGCACTGAGAGGATTAAATGAGATAAGCTTGTCAAGCATGAGCACAGAGTGGCAAATGCTGATCCACTTTTTGCCTTTCTTTCTCCTGGACAGTAACTGATAGATCAAAGTAGAAAATGGGAGAGTAAAGCAAGCTGCTCTAAAGAGAATTGTTGATCACTGAAAACCAGACTTTGTGCTGAGATTTTGGTGTATGTGACCTTGAGCCCCCCTCCCTGTACCACATCTTTCTAAAGTCCCCACGATCCCCTGTCACCCCATCATCCCATTGTCTTCAGACATTACTTCTTGTGGCCACTTCCCTACCTGACTCTTACTCTGTTCTCAGCTACCTACCAGTAGGTGCTCATGGACTTCTCTAAGTTAGCAGACAAATTACTGATAAAGGACCCCACTCCCCCTCTTTGCTACCTTAGAATCCCCTCTACATTCTACTCAGGAGCCATTGATTATTCTGGTCTCTGGGAACAAAACCCAACTGCCCCCAGGTCTGCCTCCAAACATGCTGTTTGCTGTTTGGCAACTTTTAACCACCATGTGACCCAGCCATTCCACTCGGGGTATTACCCAAGAGAAATGAGAGGATATATTCACACAAAGACTTGTACACAAATGTACATAGCAACTTGATCTGTAGTAACCAAAATCTGAGAGCAATCTGAATGCCTATTAACAAGAGAAGGGACAAACTGCGGTCACTCCACACAATGGAACCAGTGCCAGTCTGTGCAACCACTCAGATGAATCTCAAAAGAAAAGAAGCCCACCCCCAAAGTGTATGAGCTAGATGAGTCCATTTATATGAACTTCTAGAAAAGGCAAAACTAACCTGTGGTGACAGCAGATCAGCAGTGGCTGGGGACCAGAGATGGAGGAGGGGGTTGGGGGAGGGGGAATAACTACAAAGCAGCAGGAAGAAACTTTGGGGGTTGATGGAAAAGTTTCATATCTTGATCACAGTGGTCATTCCTCGAGTGTATACATTGTCAAAACTCATCAAACTGTACACTTGAAATGGGTGCATTTTGTCCCATGCAAACCATACTCAGCGAGGCTGAACTCTTTAGAAACGTTCTGTTTCTCAGGGCTCTCAGTGGCAGGCTCTGAATATAACTGGAATGTAACAACTGGAGGAATGAGCTGTCCCAGTAACCTAAGGAAAGGCCATCACTGATTCTAAATCTGGGGGGTGGGGGGGAGGGACGAAGCACACTCCCCAGAAGCTTTTCTCACCCAGGGTCCAGTTTCCTAACTTAGTTCACCATGCCAAAGTTCATCCTGCTGAGTGCTGAGAGCAGGCCTGAACTATTTCAGGCCCAAGGGCAACATCTCTGAGAAATTCTATCTGGAAAGAGTAGGAGATCACCATGGCAACCTGTCCCAGGCCCAGCCCTGGCAGGGCTCCAAGACACACAAATAAAGCCATAGGAATGTGGTGCAGGGCTGGGGCAGGGCAACCAGGAAGTTGCCAAGTTTCCATGAAAATCAACTGTGGGAGTGAAGAAACCTCCCCCCTTGTAAGTAGGGCCAGCCCTAACCCAGAGGCAGCCCATCCAGGCGCCTTCCTGAAATTTTAGCAACTAAAAGCATTCTGTTCACAATAAGAAAACCGTTTCCCCCCACATCCTGATTGGAATGTCCCTGAATAGGTTCACGTTGACCCTCTGTGAAATCAACCTGGATGCTATGCGACTCCCGCGGTTCTTTTGTCTTTTGGCGGTTTCTTTCCTTTTGCCTTTAAAAGATCCCTGTGATTGCTAATCGGGGCTCTTTTCCTCCTCGGAGGCGGAGAGCCCGTTTGCGCAAACGTTCAATAAACCCTCTTGCTAATTGCATCTGCCTGTCTGGGGTCTGAGTCTCTGGGGCGTCCACCGGGACACGTTGGCACCCGTGAGCCAGGGTCCAACATTTGGGGGCTCGTCCGGGATCTGAGACGCCCCAGACTGAATCCTAAGACCGGTAGGAGGTAAGACCGAGCTCGCTAAATGTCATATCTGTCTCGTCCGTTTGTCTGACTGGCCGGGTCTGTTTTGTGCCGGGTCTGTATTGTGCCTGCAGGACGCTGTACTCTGTATTCTGTATTTGGACCAGCGGGGGAGGCAGACGCGCCCGAGACCCCTGGTCCCCCTCCGGAGTCGGACTCCGGAGTGGTCTGGAAGAGGAACGGAGCCCCGGCACTCCCTCCTCTTCGGGGAGGGTCGTGGTTCGCGACCGCTCCCGTCTGAATCTGCCGCGCCAGTCCTGTCGTTCGTGTGCGTCTGTTCGTTCCGTGTTTCTCTTCCTTTCCTGTCCTCCTCCTCACCGCTCACCCCTTCTCTACACCCCTGGGGCAGACTGTAACCACCCCTTTAAGCCTCACTCTAGATCACTGGAAAGAAGTCGCCGGCCGGGCACACAATCTTTCGGTCGAAGTCAGAAGACGAAGATGGGTGGTCACCTTCTGCTCCTCAGAGTGGCCGGCTTCCAACGTCGGGTGGCCCAGGAACGGAACTTTTAATATTGACATTATCTTGCAGGAGCCAGACCTGGGATGGCTGCCAACAGCTCCCGCAGACTCTCCTCCCACGGAGGAGACAGCGCGTCTACCTCGAAGCTCGCAAAAACGTCCGGGGGCGGATGGGAGGCCGACCCGGCTGCCTAAGGAAATTGAGGATGTTTTCCCCTTGGTTCGCCCGACCTGGGACTACGACACTGTTGCTGGTAGGGAGCGGCTCCGTCTCTATCGCCAGGTACTCCTAGCGGGTCTCAAAGGGGCAGGGCGTCGCCCCACCAATTTGGCAAAGGTACGTGCTATAGTGCAGGGAAAAGATGAGACGCCGGCAGGTTTTCTGGAGAGGTTAATAGAAGGCTATACTGGCCACCGTAGTACAGGGCTCAGGGCAGAGTAAGTCAGGACAGAGTAGGGACCTGGGAGACAAAAGAGGACCACGGGTTGAACGAGACCAGGGTGCCTACTGCAAGGAAAAAGGACATTGGGTTAAAGATTGCCCAAGGAGGGGCCAAACGCAGGGACCTAAAAAGAAGCCCATTCCTGTTTTGTCCCTAGAAGATGAAGATTAGGGGTGTCAGGGCCAGGAACCCCCCCCCGAGCCTCGGATAACCCTTAAAGTGGGGGGACAGCCGGTGACCTTCCTGGTCGATACGGGGGCTCAACATTCAGTTTTAACTGAGGCAAAAGGACCCTTGAGCTCTAAAACGTCTTGGGTTCAGGGGGCAACTGGAGGCAAGTTATATCGATGGACAACCGAACGGAAGGTCCACCTGAGCACTGGGCAAGTAACGCATTCCTTCTTACTGGTCCCAGACGGCCCTTACCCTCTCCTAGGCAGAGACCTTCTTTCAAAAGTAGGGGCCCAGATACATTTTCAGCAAAAAGGGGCCACTATTACTGGCGCAGAAGGGCAGCCCCTCCAGGTACTGACCTTGCGCCTAGAGGATGAACACCGGCTGCACGAGGACTCTCCACCGCCCATGCAGCCCCTGGATTCTGAATGGCTCACTAACTACCCTCAGGCCTGGGTGGAAACAGCCGGAATGGGACTAGCTGTAAACCAGCCGCCCATAATTATAAACTTAAAAACCCTCGGCCACCCCCATATCGATCCGGCAATATTCAATGAGCAAAGAGGCCAAAGAAGGCATTCGGCCACATATACAGAGACTATTACAATTGGGCATTTTAATACCTTGCCAGTCGCCCTGGAATACTCCTCTATTACCCGTAAAAAAAAAAAAAAAAAAAACCCGGCACAGGAGATTACCGGCTGGTACAAGATTTACGAGAGGTTAACTGGAGGACAGAGGACATACATCCCACGGTGCCGAATCCCTACAACTTGCTCAGCACCTTACCCCCAAGCCATGTCTGGTATATGGTGTCAGATCTAAAAGATGCATTCTTTTGCCTAAGGTTAAGCTCTCAAAGCCAGCCTATTTTTGCCTTTGAATGGAAAGATCCTGAGATGGGATTCTCAGGACAACTCACTTGGACAAGGCTGCCACAGGGATTCAAAAACTCCCCCACTTTGTTCGATGAAGCCTTGCATCGGGATTTGGCAGATTTCCGAGTTGGCCATCCGGACCTCGTCCTCCTGCAGTACGTGGATGATTTGCTCCTGGCGGCTAGGACAGAACAGGATTGTGTAAAAGGTACGGGGCCCTGCTTGAGAGACTGGGAGAACTGGGGTATAGGGCCTCCGCCAAAAAGGCCCAAATAGGCCAGAGACAAGTGACCTATCTGGGATATCTCCTGGAAGGAGGCCAGAGGTGGCTGACGGAGAGCCGCAAAAAGGCTGTAGCCCTGATCCCAGCACCCACTAATGCCAAAGGACTACGAGAGTTCCTCGGCAGTGCTGGGTTCTGCCGCCTCTGGATACCCGGGTTTGCGGAGATGGCGGCTCCCCTATATCCTCTCACGAAATCCAACACCCCCTACCACTGGGGAAAGGAGCAACAATTGGCTTTTGACAAAATAAAAAGGGCCTTATTGACCGCCCCTGCCCTGAGCCTCCCAGATGTAACCAAGCCTTTTACGCTATATGTTGATGAACATAATGGAATAGCCAAAGGGGTCCTAACTCAAAAACTGGGACCCTGTAAAAGGCCCGTGGCATACTTTTCAAAAAAAAATTAGACAGCGTGGCTGCAGGATGGCCCCCATGTCTCCGAATAACAGCGGCTGTGGCAGTCCTAGTAAAAGACTCAGACAAGTTGACTTTTGGCCAACCCCTCACTGTGGTGGCCCCCCATGCCGTAGAGACAGTCATCCGCCAGCCCCCTGATCGATGGCTCTCAAACGCCCGGGTCACCCATTATCAGGCCATGTTACTGAATTCTGAGCAGATACGGTTTGGAACGGCTACATCTCTAAACCCGGCCACCTTGCTTCCAGAAACCGAGTCCCCCTCCCTAGTAATGCATGATTGCCACCAGATCCTAGCTGAAGTCCATGGCACCAGAGGGGACTTGAAGGACCAGCCTTTGCCAGATGCTGAAGCAACCTGGTACACCGATGGGAGTAGCTTTCTACGAAATGGTGAGCGTAAAGCCGGGGCAGCCGTGGTAGATGGGAAAGCTGTCATTTGGGCCAGTGCCTTAGAGCCTGGGACTTCAGCTCAAAGGGCAGAGCTTATAGCCGTAACTCAGGCCCTAAGAAAGGCTAAGGACAAAAAGGTCAACATTTATACTGACAGCAGATATGCTTTTGCAACTGCCCATGTTCATGGAGAAATATACCGTAGAAGGGGTCTCCTAACCTCAGCAGGTAAAAACATCAAAAACAGAGAAGAAATACAAGATCTTCTCCATTCCCTCTTTCTGCCGAGAAAACTGAGTATAATTCACTGTCCTGGGCATCAGCGAGGCAATGACCCAGTAGCAGAGGGGAACAGGATGGCCGATGAGACAGCACGGGCCGCTGCACTAGGCCCACAGGCCCTCTCCCTACAAGTACCAGAGGCTGTCCGGACACCGGGGCAACTCTCTCTCGAGTACTCAGACAGCGACCTAGATATCGTCCAGCAAATAGGGGCAAAATATGACGAGCAAATGAAGGTCTGGAAACACCAAGGGAAGACGGTCCTGCCCCAGAAAAGGGCCAAAGAACTGGTGACTCACCTCCACCGATGGACTCACCTCGGACACAAAAAAATTAAAAGCACTCCTCCGGAGAGAAGGTCAGACCTATTACATTCCCAAACTCCCCTCCCTGATCCAACAGGTAACCGAAGCTTGTGTACCTGTGCTAAGGTAAATACCAAACACCTCAAGATGCCTGAGGGAACCAGGATGAGGGGAGAAAGACCCGGAACTAATTGGGAAGTAGACTTCACCGAAATCAAGCCAGGTAAATATGGTAACAAGTACCTCCTAGTGTTTATAGATACCTTTTCAGGCTGGACAGAAGCTTTCCCCACCAAGCAAGAAACCGCCCAGGTGGTTGTCAAGAAAATCCTGGAAGAAATTTTCCCCCGGTTTGGACTGCCCAAGGTAATAGGGTCGGACAACAGCCCCGCCTTCGTCTCCCAGGTAAGTCAGTTGGTGGCCAGATTACTGGGGATAAATTGGAAATTACATTGTGCATACAGACCCCAGAGCTCAGGTCAGGTAGAAAGAATGAATAGAACAATTAAAGAGACCCTAACTAAATTGACATTGGAGACTGGCACTAGAGACTGGGTCCAACTCCTCCCTATGGTTCTGTTCCGAGTCCGGAACACTCCCGCGCGCCATGGGCTAACTCCTTACGAGATTCTCTATGGAGGTCCCCCACCAGTAACGGACTTACTAGATTCTGCTATTGACCCTCTTGCTAACACTCCCGCTTTACAGGACAGGCTAAAGGCGCTCCAGATTATCCAGCACCAGATCTGGAAACCCCTTGCGGCTGTCTACCGCCCCGGAGACACAACCGGCCCACACCCGTTCCAGATCGGTGACTCCGTCTACGTCAGGAGACATCAGTCCAGGACGCTTGAGCCCCGCTGGAAGGGCCCATACACTGTACTACTGACCACCCCAACCGCCTTAAAGGAAGACGGCATTGCTGCTTGGGTCCACGCCTCACACGTCCAGCGCGCCCCATCAACGAGCACCGCTGACGCCAGCCAGGACGGACCGGACGAGCCACTCCAATGGAAGCTCCACCGCACCTAAAACCCGCTCAAGATAAGACTTTCAAAAATTGTTCAATGACAGTTGTTATATTCCTACCTCTCCTAGCGCTCTTCACCTCCGCCAAAGGTGACCCTCATGCCCTCAAAAGGTTAACCTGGCAGGTACTAACGTCTGGGGGTGACGAGGTCTGGTCTATAACTAAGACCGCCCCCGTGGGAACCTGGTGGCCTAACCTATATCCTGACCTATGCAAGCTAACCATAGGGGCCCCTAGCCCATGGGACCTAGAGGGATACTTCGACACCTCTAGAGCCCCTAGCCAAGAAAGCCCTCCAGGGCGACTGGGATTAGACCCATGGGGAGGATGTGGCACGCCTGACAGAAGGGCCATGCTAAGCACTCTTCCCTTTTATGTCTGTCCCTGGCACCACAGAGATCCCAGGCTAAATCCCACCTGTGGAGGAGGGGAATACTTCTATTGTAAAAATTGGGGGTGCGAAACTACGGGGGATACAGAATGGAGGCCCTCCTCCTCCTGGGATTATATCACTGTCAAGGCTAACAACCCTTACAGAAGTTTCAGGACAGGGAACCTGCATAGGAACACCCCCCCGGGGCTACCAGAGACTCTGCAACACTACCACCCCGATTTTGGGGACTGATTCTTACCTGGAGCCCCAGCCGGGAACTTGGTGGGCATGCAACAAAGGCCTCACCCCCTGTGTGTCGGCCAAGGTTCTAAATAGCTCAAACGACTTTTGTGTCATGGTGCAGATCATACCCAGGGTGTTCTATCACCCTGCTGAAACTCTAGAAAATCAATATGATAAACATCCCACCCGTTTTCGGTGCGAACCTGTCTCCCTAACCTTAGCCGTTATGTTGGGACTAGGGGTCGCTACTGGGGTGGGTACTGGCGCAGCTGCTCTGATCCAGGGCTCACGGCGTTATCTAGAACTCCAAACAGCTGTAGATGAGGATCTACGGACACTAGAGCAGTCCGTTTCTAAGTTAGAACAGTCCCTCACCTCACTTTCAGAAGTAGCACTTCAAAACAGGAGAGGCTTGGATTGACTATTCCTGAAAGAGGGAGGACTGTGTGCGGCGCTGGGAGAGGAATGCTGTTTCTATGCAGACCATTCTGGAGTCATCAGAGACTCCATGGCCGAACTCAGGGAAAGGTTAAATAAAAGACAAAGGGACCAGGAGGCCCAGCAGGGCTGGTTTGAAAGCTGGTTTAATCAGTCTCCCTGGTTGACCACCCTAATCTCTACCATTCTGGGCCCTCTAGTTATCCTGCTCCTGCTGCTAACTTTCGGCCCCTGCGTCCTCAACCGGCTGCTCCAGTTCATCCGAGAAAGATTGTCTATTACCCAAGCTCTGGTATTAACTCAGCAATGTCGGGCCCTCCAAACTGAAGAAATAAATGTTCCCTAAGATTTTAAGGTTAAAATCAGCCCAAACAAGAGGAGGGAATGAAGAAACCTCCCCCCTTGTAAGTAGGGCCAGCCCTAACCCAGAGGCAGCCCATCCAGGCGCCTTCCTGAAATTTTAGCAACTAAAAGCATTCTGTTCACAATAAGAAAACCATTTCCCCCCACACCCTGATTGGAATGTCCCTGAATAGGTTCATGTTGACCCTCCCCAAAATCAACCTGGATGCCATGCGACTCCCGCGGTTCTTTTGTCGGTTTCTTTCCTTTTGCCTTTAAAAGATCCCTGTAATTGCTAATTGGGGCTCTTTTCCTCCTCGGAGGCGGAGAGCCCGTTTGCGCAAACGTTCAATAAACCCTCTTGCTGATTGCATCTGCCTGTCTGGGGTCTGAGTCTCTGGGGCGTCCACCGGGACACGTTGGCACCCCTGAGCCAGGGTCCAACAGGAGGAGGCCTCAGCCTTTAGAAGGTGTCAGCAGGGAATCTTGGGTCCCAACAGGATCAGCCCCAGGGAAATGGAACACATTCACACACACACACACACACACACACACACACACACACACACACACAGACCCCTGCTTGGAGGACACCAGTACTGCTTCTTGAAAGAGAGACCTGATAAATAAGAGCACTGGCTTCTGAGTCTGCAACAGTAATTCTGGTACCCTAGGCCACGTCCTGGTAATCTCAGCGAGTTTCTGAACTAGTCATCCACATGGCCCACCTCCTCCCCCACTCCTCCTTGTCTCACCTTCTCCATGAGACCTTCCGTGATCATCTTAGGTCAAATTGCAGCCTTCCCTCCACCCTCAAGTCCTGCCCTGCTTTATTTTTCTCCATGGCACAAAGCACCACCTGACATACCATGTTTTACTTATTTATCCCATTTGGCGCCTCATTAATGTCAGCTTCATGAGGGCAGGGATTTTTGGCTGTTTTGTCTATGGCATCTCCAATGCCTAGAACAGTGCCTGGCACATAGTAAGTGCACAAGGAACATTATAGAGTGAATGCATGGACTTCTCTGAAGATGAGTTTTCTCATCAGCAAAATGGGGATAATTCTACCCCCATGGCATTCATGTAAAGGTTAAATGGTTTAAGACTACAGGTCAAGTGCCCAGCCCTTAGTGGGGGCACTAATGTTATTCACAGTTATATCTTTCCTTTGGTGAGTTGTAATCATGAACAGGCTTCGCATTACCACCCCTTAGCCCTTTGGTCCTTACTTAAGAACACCTTTCACTGGATCTTACCTTGCGTCCTCAAGCCCTGAGTGCAAGAGCTTATCTGTGTCCTCGTTCTGCAAAACTACAGTTGGTAAAGACAATGGAACCAGAGATTGAGTCCTGTCTCCAAATATTTGTTAGGGGATTGAGTAAATAACCTAATCCATTCATAGGAAAGCAAGCTCTTAAAAATGTAAAGGCACTTTGAATAAGCAGGCAATGTTTCACCTGTAAAAGAAGAGAACAGGTGTATTTCTCATATCCGTAACATGCGCCAGATAGTGAGTTAGGCACCTGACATGTCTTCTGTTTCACCTTGTTTCACCTTGTGTCAAGATACCTTACCAGGAAGGTATCTAAGAATGAAGAAATTGAGGCCGAGAGGTTATGACACCTCACAGTACTGAAGCAGTGGGGCAGGAGTTGAAGCCAGAGTTGCTCATGCTCAAGCCCCAAAGCCTGTGTCCTTCCTGTAAACTACCCTACCTTCTTTGAAACTTCACTTAATAAAAGGTTTCTCTGCCTAGCAGGGAGTTTGGATATGTTATGTAGACCATTCTAAAAATTAAAAAAAAAAAAAAAAAAACCCACTACTGAGGAGAGATATATGGAAACTACTAGTAAGGAGGAATTATTTTTGCCTGCGATAAATCAGACCAGCTACAGAGAGGAGCTGCAGGGGACTTGTATTTCTGGTTCATTAACTCCTCTCTGTGGGAGCTATCACTGGCTTTGGGTTCCAACGCACGACAATGAACAGCATGCGTTATTCATAGGAGTTTTCCATCTTGTCATATTTTCAGCAGGTCATTCCTTTGGGATCCTTTATTTTTATTTATAGCCTTGTGCATCATTTCATTGCCAGAATTTAGCATGTTCTGGCAACAGCTACTTTCTGAGGGGCTGGAGCCTCCAGCATTACAAACGTGTAAGAAAGCAGAGAGTACGGAATTTGAATCAGTCTGCTGGAACCAACTCCTTATGTTCAACAACTTCATGTAGGTAGCTTGAAATTAGCCAAGGTGAAAGTCTTTACACCCCCAGAAAGTGACAAATGCTACAAATCAAGGCTTTTCTTTCCCCCTTTAGAGAGCCAGTTGTGAAACATTGCACCGACACACAACTGGCTCAGCTATTGTAAAAACAACAGAAAGATTCTTGGAGGGGAGTCAGGGAATTTGAGTTTTAGCTTCGTGTCATTACCAACTCACTGTAAACCTTATGGAGTCATTTCACTTCTCTCGACCTCAATTTCTTTGTCAGTTGACTGTAGGGAGATGGTGTACATTAGAAAACCAGGACTGCTAAGTGCTGAGTTATTCCCCTGAAACAATATAGCTTGGCAAGTCTTCAAGTAATTTTCAATATTAAAAAAGAAAGAAAGAAAGAAAGAAAACCATTCGCTAATCCCCCGAGAAGCCCAAACAGGTTAATTTAATAAATAAATTGTGCTTAGTGGTGAAAAATCTTTCAAAATCTGAAACTTAGGGGAAGAGCAATAAAAGCCCTCTGTTGCTTTCTGGGCTGAGCACCTGAAACGGGGCAGTCACTGCCAGATACTGACATTATCATACTGGAGAAGACTCAGTCCCTGCTCCCTTCCATCCTCAGGACCTTACAGATGAGGGAGGCTCACAGACCAGCAGACATGCATTGTAATAAATGAAGTCAGGGCTCTGATGGGGGTAAGAACCAGGCTTTAAGACAGCATACAGCAGGGGCACTATCTGAGCTGGGGACCCAAGGATGGCTTGGGAGAAGGGACATCTAATGGGAATTAAGTTCAGAGGTCAAATACCATAGGGACATTGGGGAGTTGCATTCATCAAGAGTAGCTAGAAAGCATGGTACCAGTCAATGATGGAAAGTCACATAGGGCCTTCTGTATCAGGTAGAAAGAGTTCAGGATTTATCTTGAAGGGCAGTAATTGGAGCTTTAGAAAGCTTTTCAGGCTGTTATATGGAGAATGAATGGAAAGGAAGCAACAGTGGAAGCTGGGAGACCAGTTCAGCAGCTCTTGTAGCAAGTAAGAGTCTGGTGACCTGAGGCAGAGAGTGAATGGATTTGGGCCTCGTGATACTGTGATTTATAATAAGAAATTCATATTTGGTCTTTGCCTTCAATCCCTGACACAGGGCTTCCGAAACCCTTGTAAATTCCTAAGTGAAAAGAGCACTAGGAACTACTTTTGTTTTATTGAAGGGACTCTGAGTGGGCTCCTGATGGCTCCGGATGGGGGCTGCTCACCAAAAAGACCAAGCCATCATTCGAAGCTTAGAATTTCCAGCCACCTGCCACCACTACCACTTCTCTAGATAGGGGAGAGGGAATGAAAATGGAGCTAATAATGATCATGCTTATGTGTGAGGAAGTCTCCACAAGACCCCAGTAGCACAGGGCTTAGAGAACTTCAGGTGGGTGAACACGTCCACATACATGGACACTCCCCACCTCCACAGGAACGGAAGCTCCTGTGCTCAGGGCCCACCCAGATCTCACCCTATGTATCTCTTCATCTGACTATTCATCTGTATCCTTTATCATATCCTTTAATAAACTGGTAAGTGTTTCCTGAATTTCTGTGAGCTATTCTAGCAAATAATCAAACGTAAGAGGGAAGAAGTCAGGGAAACATCCAATTTGTAGCCAAGGCAGACAGAAGTTGTGGGTAACTTGGGGACCTATACTTTTGAGTGGCATTTAAAGTGGGGAGGGCGGCTTGGAGCACCTGGGTGACTCAGTGGTTGAGCATCTGCCTTTGGCTCAGGTCATGATCCCAGGGTCCTGGGACTGAATCCCACATTGGGCTCCCCACAGGGAGCCTGCTTCTCCCTCTGCTTTTATCTCTGCCTCTCTTTCTGTGTCTCTCATAAATAAATAAAATGTTTTTTAAATAATTAAAATAAAAACAAAGGCGGGGGGAGCTTGAACTCTTGGGACTGAACTCTTAACCCATGGGATCTGACACTACCTCCAGGTAGATAGTATCAAACGTGAGTTAAATTGTAGGACACCCAGCTGGTGCCACAGAATTCCTTGGTGTTGGAACCCCCCTGCCCCTCCCCCACATGACACACATTCTTGACCAGAAGTGTCGAGTGTTCTCTGCAAAAGCAGAGGAGAAAGACACAGGAGATGACCTGCAAGTTTTTCCAATACAGGCACGTCTTCGTCTGCTGGGGCTGCCATAACAAAGTGCCACAAATTTGGTGGCTTAGATAACAAATGTATTATCTCACAGTTCTGGAGGCTAGAAGTCCAAAAGGAAGGTGTCAGCAGGGCCACACTCCCTCTGAGATGCTGGGTAGGATCTTCACCCCCCTCCCCAGCTTCTGGAAGCGGCATCAGTCCTCCGTGTTCCTTGGCTTACAGCTAGTTTCTTTCTGGTGTCCCTTGGCTAGCTACTCTAGTTTCTGTCTCTGTTGTCACATGGTGTCTCCCTGGGTGGCTCTGTCTCTTTGATGTAGGAAAGATGATAAGGTTCGAAACTGATGGCCAAAAGAGAATTCTTGAGAGGGATCTGGCGCAAAAAAAGGTGGTTTTATTAAAGCACGGGGACGGGACCTATGAGCAGAAAGAGCTGCACCGGGGTTGCAAGAAGCTTCGTTAGGAGGAGGTTAGGGATAGCGTAACCCAGGTATTTTGGAAACAAGGTTTCCAGAATCCTGAGGGAGCTAGCTGTTGTGAGGAAAAGGTCATTTGTTACTGTTTAGTAAAAACTCAGTCATGAGACTCTTCAGATATACATCGGTGGGCCATATGCTTGGAGGATGATTGCCAACATGTATCTTGGTTGGATGGGGTAGAGATAAAGGAAGTTTCCAAAGGAATTTTTGTATGTTAAAGTAGACTTACAGAATCTTCAGGGTCAGGCTAAGATTGCCTCTGGCCTTAGCAAAAAAAAAAAAAAAAAGAAAGAAAAGAATTAGCATTAAGGCAGCTGAGTCCCTAGAGGAATGTCACTCTCCCTGTTTCAAGGACTTGTCAGTGGGCTACAGGTAGAAAGGAAATTTTCTTTTGCCTGTTTCCCACATCATCTTTACATCATCACCTTATAAGGACACAGGTTTTACGGCTCAAGGACCCACCCTGCTCCAGCATGATCTCATCCTAACTAATAACACCTACAATGACCCTATT